AAGTGGCCAGCTTCCACAGCTGCGCTGCTTGCAGTGGCCAGGGTCTAACGAGTGTGTGTTGCTGCCAGCGGCGAGCTTCTCACTCCTACGCTGGTTGCAGTAAAGGCCTACGCTGGCTGCAAGATCCAGAAGGCAACCACCATATTCGCACCTTGTGCTGGTTTTGTGAGACTGCCGCAAAAGCAGGGCCTTGTGAGCATAGCTACTGTGCGTTGTTGCATGAGGGTGTCCTGTCCACTGCTCCGGCTGCGCAGCCTCGCAAAAAGGGTCGCCCACGTAAAGAGCATCAAGCTCGTCCCTCTGTCCCTGTTTCCGGCTCTCTTCTTTTGCCTGGCCCACTGCTGTCCAGCTCGCCTCAGCCCAATGTCAGCTTGTCTCCAGCAGTCCTGCCTGCGTCTGAGTCTGGGTGTACTACTCTTCTGGAAGTCTTGCGTTCTGCTGGGCTTGAATCTCTCCGCAAGCGATTTGTGTCCCAGGGTGCCACAGTCTCGATTCTTCGCGACATGAGCTACACGGACTTTCAATCCTTCTTCCAGCTCTCCCTTGTGGATGCACACCGCCTCAAAGTCGAATTGGCAAAGGCTGGGTTCTGATTTCGTAAGATTCAGTTCAATCATATCACACCTCTCGTCCGTTGTGCTCGTTTTGTGCTCCAGGTCACACCGCCAACCGCCATGACCTTAGATACGTTTAAGAATCAGGGAAAGGAGGTTGGATAATTGAACACTGGGCAGACCTTGACCTTTTGAGGCTGCCACCGATGAAGTCTTGGCCTCAGAAACCTATAGATTCCGTATACGCTTCGGTTTTCCTGGGCATTTCGTCCTTTGTGCTCGTTTTGTGGTCCAGGTGACGCTGCCAACTGCCATGGCCTTAGACACGTTTAAGAATGAGGGAGACGAGGTTGGATCTTTGAACGCTGGGCAGACCTTGACCTTTTGAGGCTGCCGCAAATGAAGCCTTGCCCTCAGAAACCTAATCAGTTTTCCTGGGCGTTTCGTGCGATCTGAAAAAAAACAGAAACGCTTGGAAAGAGCATGCTGCACACTTCATTATTCGGTTCGACCCGGCTTCCGTTTAACCTATTTTCGCCCGCTTGCCGACTTGGCTGTTGCGCGCGTTCTTCAGGCAGGCTCCGCGAGAAGAACTCCAGCGGCCCACGACTAAGCAACGTCGCGTCCCCTTCAGTTTGTCCTTCGCTTCCACTCTATGTACCCCACCGACTTTTGCATATACCTACTTCCTCAGGCGCTTACCGCGCCCAAAGCAGTCGTGACCTCAGTGCTCACGTCATGTTGGCCTAATTTCTTGTTCTTGTCCATCGCCTTTCCTTGCGGCAGGCAGAATCGCCCAGACAACTTGTCTTTGCCCTAGATGCTTTAAAGCGGCTTCCTGCTGCCGTGTACATCGCCACTCGCTATGCTCGTACACGCCCAGGTGGCCAAAGATGCCCGGAACCTAAGCCGTTGCTTTCCTGCTTCCATGGTCGGATCGAGTTACGACTTGCTTGTATCCGAGGCCCGCACGCAGCGCAGCTATGAGCGCTTAGCCGCTTACGGATTGCATCCGCTGCCTCCAAAGTGAGAACAAAAAGAAATTAAATAATTGAACGAGTGCTAAATTATAAAAAGAAAACATATAATAACTGTATATGTGCACAGCCGAAAAACTCCTAAAGACTTGAAGTCCCTATTATACTTCCTCTCTCCACTTTCCTCACTGCTCCTTTGGTTTTAATGATCTATTTTCTCTCTCTCTCTCTCTCTCTCTCTGTCTCTCCCTCTATATCTCTCTCTCTCACAGCCACATATATAAACTGTGGAAAGGCGAAGAACTCTTAAGAAATTATACTTTTTCTTTCCACTTTTTGCACTGCTCCTTCTCCTTCGTTTCGTTTTTCTTCTCTCTCTCTCTCCCTTTCTCTTCGTGCTACATGAAATAGTTGAAGGTAGCGTACGTATATATTTGTTCAAAGCCCAGGAATTCTAAAAGAATTAAGCCGGAAGAACACCTAAAGCACGCCTAAGGACAAGAAACCGAGCCTAAAGAAACCCGAAACCAGTGAAACCCACTGTTCCCTCCCTTTCTCTCCATCACGCTGGCTTTGGCGCTTCGTCCCCTACCCTTTCTGCTGCTCCTAGTGCTTGGAAAGCACTCCCAGCAGAAGCCAAAGCAAAAAAAAACAAAACAAAAGCAGTAGGGGAAAAAAATTGAAAAAATTCCCGGAAAAAATTTGAAAAAAATTCCCGGGAAAAATATCCACCCCATAGAAATGCATGAAACCACCCCCTCCCCTTTGTGGAAATGGACCGGGTGATGTCAAAGCTAAGAAAGCGTTCCATTCCTGGGAGGTGAAGATTTGCCACAACAAAACTGGGACAGATGGTGCCGGTGGCATTCTCCTTCACCAAAAATGGCACCATGCTGGGACACACCATTTGTGCCACTGGACCCGCCGAACCCGCTGCCCGAAGAATCCGGGGCGACCCGAAGGTGTCGGGCGAAGGTGTCGGGTGCCAGGACCGAAGGCTCAGCAGGTGTCGGTGTCGGGTGCCAGTTCGGCCCAAAGTAGCCAAGGAGGATGGTCCAGACCGTGTACAGTTGTGCTTGGCTGTGGAGACGGAGCAGGGTGCTGTTGAGCTCACCGATGAGGCGCTGTCGACTGCAGTGGGGCGGAAAAACACCACCCATCATTGGCCAATCAGCATTTTTAGGCATGGAGGATGGAGCAATTCTCTACCAGGACCTTCCATGTGCAACAGTGTGGTTTTTGGACACTTCTTGACACCTTGACCTCTAAGCGACTATGTACAGAGACCCCTGCGCCTTTGATACCACTGGAGTTAGTAGCTCTGGCTTTGTGTCCCTAGGATCGTGGGTTGCTGGGTCACCCAAGAAGGTTCGATTCTTTGAGTCTGGGTGGGTAGGGGCAGCTGTGATTTTCTTGGGTCACATGCTTACCTAGGGCCCTAGGGTGTAAGCCCATGACCAGTAACAGATCGGTAAAAGAGTATCACATATATATATATATATATGACTATGTTTGAGAAAGGCCTGCCAACTAACCATCATCCACTATGACCGGTAGGATCAATATGTCCAAATGATCTCCAACCTTTGAGGATGTTCCAACCCCGGTCCAACCCCCATGCACCCTGGACCGTTGGCGTAGACGGCACCCGGGCGGTGGACCACTCGGACACTCGTTTCGCATCGACGGATGATGGAGACATATGGAGACCCATTTTTTGGGTGGTGAGTTTCTTTTTGGCTTCAGGGAATTGCTCTCATGAATGGATGCAGCACCTGAGGCTCGCGAATGGTGCGTTGACCAGGGCTTCGAATTTTTGAGCCACTTAGCTGGAAGGATGTGGAAGGAAGCGGATCACCATGTTCGCCGCCAGATCACAGCGAACGGAACTGCAGTTGACACCCTATAGTCGCTGGCATTGCGTGAAAGGGAGGCCAAGAAGGTGCTGGCCATCGCTCGCCAAACCCAGAGAGGTTATAAGTGACCTGAACTACGTGGGACCGTCACCTGGGATACCTATGGGATAGTCTATAGATGTCTATATAGGGTTCTTCAACCTTTGTTGGTATGTCTAACCAGATTCTGTTGCCACACCGGTGGCAGTCACGGGAATGACAAAAATCCATGATCCGATGAAACCTACGCGGCACAAAAACACCCGACACGCCTTTGGTGCAGTATCAGGGCAAAACTGAGAGAACTAAGCTTGTTCAAACATTCAAGGTTCTTGTTGATGTTTACTTTTTTAAGCATACCCAGCCCCTTAGGATTTTGAAGCGCCATACTTGTGGATGGATCAATGCCAAGAGGCTCGGTGCTTTTCACCTTCGGTACCTGAAACCCCGCTTGTCAAGCTTCAAGCCATGTTTAGCTGTAGGATATGGGGTGCCAAGATATCTTAGCTAGTAGTCATGTCCGTTTGGGATTTACTGTATGCATCCTGAGCTGTGCATGTTTCAGGCTGCCCTTTGGAAGACCAAGACCTCCACATGCTGAAGCAGCGCTGCCAGCAGCCTGCAAATCGCTCCAGTCTGTTGGATGAGGATGCTGAAAATTCGGTTCTCCGCCTACGAGAGGCCAGGGCCATGCAGGGTGTGTCACATTTGCTTGTACTTAAGGAAAGTAGACGGCATTATTTATACATGGACAAGTTTTTTGAAACCTTTTAGAGGAGTTGATGGAGAACATCTTCCCCTCCCCCAAACCGCTGTCTTCAGGCCTTGGAGTGCCACAGCTCATGGCCCGGGCTCGTGCCAGCCAAGTTGACCTCAGAGCCTTCAGTGGCGCCTGCACTGGCGGCGACGTCTGAACCGGCGGTGGAGACGGCGGATCCCAAAAAGAGCGGCTACACGTCGTTGCCAGATGCGCCGGTGGCGCCCAAGAAGGCGCGCCAACGTGGCATGACACAAAGGTACCAGCTGCATCCGGCTGTCCATTTGGCACCCTTTTGAGGGACAAACCATTGGGCAACCAAGAGGTACATGCAAGTTTGCGAGTGGACTTCCCTCCCAATGTCGTTTTGTGAACCTCACACGGACATGCACGGACAGATACTGTACATGCCTTCGAGAGCCATGTTTGTCTCCAGTCCGTTGGGTGCAGGCGCCAGTCGGAGTTGAGAAGCTGCACGACCGCATGCAGGCTTGGTTGCGAGGGAAGCCCGACGTGCATTTTTGGCATTCCGTTGGATTTTGGGTTCTGGATGCTGGCAGAAACATGTACAGCATTGTTTCAGCTTAGTGATTCCAGCTGAAACATGATCTCCAAACGTGTAAAAAAGAATAGAGGGGTAAACCATAGTATAACATGTATAACAATGAGTATATAAAACTATATAAACCTCTTGGGCCACTATGTTGACCCTCCCAGCGCCAAGATATTGACCTACTGCTTGAAATGAAGGGCACTTGCTTCACCCTGAAAGCATGAAGTACACTATGTTTGTTTGGCCAAATTGTGGGAAGCATGCACTGTGATTTTGTTATGGATTGTGCAACACCCAAGTGCCTGGTTGGTTGATTAATCAAGCAATTAGAAAGCATTAAAAGAAGGTTTCTGTTAAAAACTGAGTGGCCCGAATTGGGGCAAGTTCTACTGCGGTCGTGCGGTCGGGTCAATTTGATTGGGAGGATGAGGACTTCGCGGACGTGGACGAGTTCGAAAAGTTTGCTCAAGAGATGAAGGACATCAATACGATGGACGTTTCAGTCATAGAAGTCAGCAACATTAACCTGGAAGAGCCGTTGTGGGTAGATCCGTGTTAGTAGAACTCATCAGATTGGACGTGTCTTTGTTGAGTGTTAGTGCTGGGTCATTCGGTGAACCTGATAGAATTGCACAGCCGAAAGCGGATGCAGACTACTCTCCTGCAGATTAACATGGAACCCCAAAATACTGGGTTGGTATTCGGAAAATTGTCTTTCACCGTTTTTTCTTCTCAGGTTCCATGTGGTCCGTTTGCAGGGGGGTATCACTTCCCACGTCCATTTTGTATTCGCGCTCGCTATGGAGCGAATTCGCACACTTACAAAGTCCTACCCAAAACCATGAAATCATGCATTACTGTAGCTTCAAAGACCGTTCCTAGTAGCTTCTTGTTACTAGTAGTAAG